TGATTTCATTATCAACTGGGTAGGTATTCTGTTCTACTAGACGTCTCTAGGTCTATATGGACCATTAAATTCAGATCAAAGACATTAAAGGATGGATAAATTATTACAAATGCATTCAAGTGAGCAAACATTTTTAGGCAACCTATATGGAAAATGAAAAAAGAAGTTCCAATGAAATGACCTCTGGCAAACTTTATTTCAAAATAGGTTAGCTTATTGCACTAAATTCTATAATGAGGTAAGATCTATTCACATAATTTTTTTATAAAAGCAGATATGAAGGGGTCTAACTGGGAAAATAAGGATAATGGTGATAAAGGTAATAATCTTTGGGGGAAAATTGCTGCTTCTCAAATTACTTGGAAATGTAATTACTTGGACATTTGTAAAAACTAGGTAATTAGGGACATTTAGAAAGGTTAATCATGATGAAAGGAGCAACACTTTCACACCTTCCTTTTGGACCTTTCTAACATTTTTAGCCCAGGTTCTAAATGTAATATTATTCTCCATTTCTACAGATGATGTAATATTTGTTTGCCTACCTGTAAAAACCTGCTCTGGAAGTGCAGGTATAACAGCATATAACCCTTTTCCTGCCTATTATTTCCCTGTTTCTGATCCACTAAAGAAACATGTTATTGTGTAAGAAAGAATGGGCAAAACCTTCTGGGAGGTGAAACTTATTTATTTCTACAGCATCTGTAGAGTGTCGCAATTGAGATTCTGGGTGGTGAACAGCAGAGCACAGATGAAACAAAGCAAAACAACAATAAAAAGGAATAATCTAACCAATGCTAACGATACAGGTAGTCCTCATTTAGTACCTGCAATTGGTTCTGTTGACTTGGTCATTAAGTGAAATGGTTGCTAAGTGAACATGTGACTTGAGAGAGAGAGAGAGAGACACGCTGCAAATATCACTGGTTGCTGCCATCTCATTCAGATAAAGTTCTCTCCTACAGTGTCCTGTGCCTGACCTGTTTTTTTTCTCCCCCCTCCACCTCACAGAGTGGGGAGATTACCTAAACAAGCTCTCTCTTCCTGAGCTGCTTTTCTCCACAGCACAGCACCTCCCTAAAAAGTGCTAACCACAAGTTAACAAGCACCACTCTGTGACCTTAATTAGCTGATTAGAACCTTCTAGCTGGCTAGTGCGGCTGCCTGAAACCAGCCAGACCTTAATCAGTTTCACACTGAAGGCTTTTGTTGCAAATGTGAACATTGGTCAGAAAATAAATTTTTTATTACTGTTTATTACTGTCGTATTTGCAAACAGTTGCTATCTGAGGCAGTTGCTAAATGAGGACTACCTGTAACACCCACAACCAATTTAGGCCAAAGGCATGCTGTGATACTATAGCTCTTAACAGACCTGTGAATACAAGGAGAGAAGGGGCCAATTTTCCCATGGGGTAAATTTACATAGGATAAGGGAAACAAACTCTCTCCACAATTTCCTATTCTCCTGCCTCCAGCCTTTTATATGTCAGACCAAATCACAATGTGGTTTGTGTGGTTAAAGCATAGCATCTTGTAGAAACTTAGCTAATTGTGTTTTATTCAATAAACAATAAACATAAGCGAGCCATGGTTTAGAATAATGTGTAAATAAGGTCTTTTTCACAATTTTGCAATGTCTGAATGAGATGCCGAACCGCAAACCAACCCCATTTTAGACTACTGACTTACAGTATGCGAAGTGGTGGAGCCTAGAAGCAACGTTTGGGCGAGTGCAGAATTGGTACTGAGAGGCCAACCACTGGATGACAACAAAGAACATAAAGCCATAAAGAAAACTCTCTTTGCTACCATATATCCAGATTCAACTGGCTGGCACTGCTCTACCCCTGAGGCACCACGGCTGCTGTTTCTCCCCAAAAGTGACTTCCAGATGTTGACTCCAGGTATCACAATAGGTCTGTTCTCTCAAATGTAGCCACTAGCTCTTTAATCCATGATTAATGTTGAGACAGCAAGGTCCCACCTGAAAGGTTTGCCATGGGGTTGAGAGAGTCACAACTCTTCCAAAGAAATTCCAGTAACCCCTTCAACCATCTGTCTACTTTATCTTTTGCTTCCCCTTTCATCAACCTTGCCAGCATAATCATTTTTTTCTATTCACATCATCAGTCCATGTATGAGTTTCTGCTTGTTGACTATGCCTCAAGGAAGCAGTCAGTTTTTATCTGACCCAAAATTGACTGAATCTTCTTGCAATCCATGGTACTCTTAGTAACCACCTTCAAATCCATAATTCAAAGACATCATCTTTCTTGTTTTTCTCAATATCCACTGTTTACAGTCATACTACTGGAAAGACAATTGCATACATTATTCTGATCTTGTCCTTACGCTTCATATTGGCTGTTTGTCATTGCCTTCCTAAAATTAAAACCTCTGTATTTCTCTAGAAGACTCTCTCTCTCTCTATTATATTACTGAGTTTAAGGCAACCATACTACCATCTTCATTTCTTCCATGTTCCTGAAACATATAGATCAATATTACCCTTGTCATAATATTCAACATCTCAGAAAAAAAAAGCAAACCACTGTCTTGTATAACCTTGTTTTCTATATCGTCTATTGTACAAATATGTGATCACATGTCCCTCTGCCTTTATTGCCTACTCAGTTACTGCCAACTCATCTGGCATTTCTCTTTCTGTGTACGGCTCTCATTTTCTTTGTTAGAAAAGTTGTGTTTGCGTGAATTACTGCAATGATTTAGTAATTTGCACATATCTTTTTGGTACAGGCATGTATGCCATTTTTTCCAATCTCTAGGCCATACCATCTTGTTCTATATTTATTAACATAGTTGTTACAACTTTAATTGGATCTTCTATAGCTTTATTCATTGTCTTATTTCATCTGCTGATGCTGCTTCTCTATTTCCCACTGATCTATTGTCTATCATACTTCACTTTCTAGTGCAATCAGTTCCTGAATATATTCTCTCTCCACAAATGTTTTTATCATACTATAATCCCAGTACAGCTTCAATGTAATCTTTCAATCTTATTTACTCTGATTTTCCTTTCTCAGATCTTTTTTTATGATTATTTTCAAATAATAATCTTTTGGTATAAATTTTCCTATAATTCTAATCTTAAAAAGAATTTGTATTTTCCTTTTCTTGTTATATTCCTTTTGTTGACATCATTTTTTTTTGCTGTTTGACTGTGAAACCGTGCATTCAGCCATCATGTCTGTCTTTCCCTATCATGACAGTGTGTTCTACAGGCCACACAGGTCTTTCCCCTTTTAACATTTTGCAGATATTTTTTTTCACAAAGTCTCTTTATCTCTTCATTTACTTTTGCATATGAAATTTCTTCCTAAATATTATGTTTAACTTGGTGTTCTCCAAATCTTACTGGCATGCCTGTTCTCTTTAATTTTCAAGTATTAATTTGTATATTTGACAACATAAATAATTTATGGACTGTTATACATTCTGCACTTGGAACTCTTCTAGTTGATTGGACTGCACTTCCTCTTCTATACCTGTTTTCCATTATATATTTATAATGCTTTATTATAATCAATTATAATCAAATAATTTACTCATTTAATTCTGATATTGTCCATCCAGTTATGTCCAGGTGTTGAGTCTCCATTTATGTTGCTTCAAGAAAACCTTGGCAACAAAGAATTGTCTTGGAAAAAAACTTATTAACGTTTCTCCTGCCTATTGTGCTTATTTAAATCACACCTGTGACTCCACATTCCTCTAGTTCAGTGTTTCTCAACCTGGGCAACTTGAAGATGTGTGGACTTCAACTCACAGAATTCCCGAGCCAGCACTGGGGATTCTGGGAGCACTGGCTGGGGAATTGGGGAATTTTGCAAGTTGAAGCCCACACATCTTCAAGTTGTCCAGGTTGAGAAACACTGCTCTAGTTCTTCAAATTTTGCATTCTAATAATCCATCCTTTTTTGTGTGTGTGTGTGGTGACTTCAAGTCAGTGTTGACTCTTGGCAACTGCCTGGACAAGTCCCTGCAGTATTCTCGGCAACATCTTTTGGAAATGGTTTGCCATTGCCTCTTCCCTAGGGCTGAAAGAGAGGGACTGGCCCAAAGTCACCCAGCTTCCAGTTTCTAGTCTAGTGCCTTAACCACTACACCAGACTTGACTCTCTAACCCATCCTCATTATATCCTTTGTTTTACCACCTCCTGCAATTTGCCATAAAATGTATCCGTGTCTATAATAGGTCCACACATTTGTGCAACATTGACATTTACTCCATAGTATTCATTCGAAGACATACCCTTTAGGGCTTTGTTTTGCTGTTACTATTATTTGCAAAAGTTCGAGGAAGGAAAAGAGAAGGATCTCTGCAGATCGTCCTCTTTTTGAAAACTGAACTACGGTACCCTTAACTAAGGGAAGCCTGCTGCTCTGCGCTCCAGGGACAGCGCACGAGCGGCGCTAACCCAGCAGCGGTTTACTCCTTTGCCGTCCCTGCGGCTGCTCCCTCTGGGATGGAGCGCACGAGCGCCAAGATGCTCTTCCACCGGAGAGGCAGAGGCGGGCGCAACCAGTCACTTCTCGAAGCGCTCGCCCTTTCGCTCTCCGGCAGGACAGCCGCATCCAGGCCGCCAGAGCGCCAGCCCAGGGCCCGTCCCCATCCGGCCTCCTCCCGCTTTTCCCCTGCACTGTCCCGCCCCGGGGCGGTCCTCTGTAAGCCGGCC